TTGTATGTACTTGTGAAAAAAGGCAAAAAAAAAATAGAAAAAAAAAAAAAAAAAAAAAAAGAAAAGAAAAGAAAATAAAGAAAATCGTGAAAAAAGAAAAAAAAATGAAACGCAATTAAGATTGTTTTGTTAATTATTAATATATATCTAAGAGTTTGAATGATGGTAAAGAAAGAAAATGAGAGCGTGTAATAAATCGCTCGTAGTGGGATAGGATCGAAAGAACCGCCCTTGGCGTTAACCGACCCTGTCCAAAGGTTCGGACGAAGGAAGGCGCGGCCAAAGGAGTGACACGGCGGCGCGTTAACTGGCCTGTGATTTCTTCTCGGCTGTCGAAGCACTCTGCTAGATCGAGGATACCCTTTCGGTGACCTCGACAAAGAGAAGAGAAGAGAAGAGAAGAGAAGAGATGAGACGAGACGAGAAGAGAAGAGAAGAGAAGAGAAAAGAAGATAGCGGAGATAAGAGAGTCCAGGTGTTCCATGATCGTCCGACAAAGGGTTCGAAGGTTCGAGTGCTCTCTCATACTAATATACACATGTACATATTTATCGTACATACTTTATACACATTATCACAAATATGTTGTATATGAATATATGTATGTATTTATACATATATATATATATATATATATATATATATATATATATATATGTATAGATATATGTGTATATATATGGACGTGTCATTCCATCGCATCGATTCAAATGAGCCCAACGAGGGATCGAAGAAGCTGCAGGATCCTTTTCTGGATCTTCCACGACACCCTATGAAGATGTCACCCTGGCCAACGACGCCATCTTGATCGCTAAAGTGAGAAAGAGATAATGAAACTGAGGAAGAGAGAGAGAAAGAGAGAAATAGAAAGAGAGAGAGAGAGAGAGAGAGAGAGAGAGAAAGACGCACGTCAGCAAATTCCAAGTGGTTCGCCAACTTGAAACTCATCCTCCTAACTGCCTCTCTTATCCATCGATTTCTATTTCACGACTCACGGACCACGATCACGTCACGTTTTATTAAGCGTAAACGTTCGATAATGCAGTCCTCTACTTCTCTAATTCGTACGGTGATGATAGAGAAAGCCAGTCAGCTCGTAATCTCGATAGTTTCGTTTATCTTCACATGAGCGGAAGATTAAATTTACACATAGTAGCGCCATGGAACAATGCCCGAAGTTGTTTAGACTAGCTGGTAAATATTTGAGAATCGGCTTCTCTCTCTCTCTCTCTCTCTCTCTCTCTCCCTCTCTCTCTCTCTATCTATCTCTTTCTACCTACCTATCTATCTATCTATCTATCTTTCTTTCTTCTTTTTTGCTTCTATACACCAAACAGCTCTGTGGGCCGACGCTCATCGACCGGGGAACCATACGTAACACACGTACCTTTTCCCTCGACGCGTTCACTCTTTCCGATCGATGTTTGCTTCGGCCATTTCGATTTAATTGCTCGCGAATTGCACGTTAATGATCATCCCACGAGGCAACGCGCGTTTGTTATCTCATTCCCCATTGCCTTTATAATCGATACGATTAAAGAACATTAGATAAAGTAATATAGGATTGTTTCGAAGAAAACTTCTGATTTATATGATAAATATGATTGATTTTTGATTAGATATTATTGTTAATAGGATATGGATACTTTTCTTTTTCTCTTTTATTTATTTATTTATTTATTTATTTATTATTTCCTCTTTTTTTTTCTTTTTCTCTTTATCTTCACTTTTTCTTCTTCTTGCAAAAATATATTATTTTTATAATTAGATATAACATACGTCATTGAAAATTTTTCTAAAGCATACCGTCCAATCCGTGGACGTTATCTGACTATCTAATAAATCATGCGCAGGAAACGGAAGTCCATTTCTACTCTACCGTGGTAGAATGGATGACGAAAAATAGGTAGAGAAGCTAGAGAGAGAAGGAGAGAGGGAGAGAGAGAGGAGAGAGAGAGAGAGAGAGAAGGAAGGACAACGTGGGTGCGGCTTCGCGAGAACGAAGGATCAGGGGAGGATCGGGGATGGTTGTAACGAGTGACTGGAAGGGTTTAGAGATGAGATCGGTCACCGGAAGTTTCGTCGTAGCGGACACCATTAAAACCGACGGCGTTACTAGTATCGTTCTCATGAATACTCATCTTTATCAACTTATATTAATTTCGAACGAAGTCATTATGAAATTGAAACGATCTCTCTCTCTCTCTCTCTCTCTCTCTCTCTCTGATTTGTCGCAGATTTAATTTTTACATAAACGTAGGTACCTACATTTCCGTCTTCTTTTCATTTTTTATTTTTAGACATAATCAATCGAATAAGATCTTAAAGAAAGGAGAAAAAAGAAAGAAAAGAAATAAATTGATTGAAGAGACCTCGAGAATTTAAAAGATAATTACGTAAATTCAGGGATTTGATCGAAATGGAAGGGAGATAGGTAGTTAAAGGTTACGAAGTCAGAGAAGTAAGCGAGTAAGCAAAGAAGTAAGCAAGTAAATAGGTAGGTAGGTAGGTAAGGCGGGCAGGAAGGCAGGCAGGCAGGTAGGCGCGCGTCGTCGTTCTCGTCGTCATCATCGTCGTAAAGATTGCGTAATTAGGGGAAGCAGATTTTTCACTTGTCGGGCATCATTGAAGTTTTGCTCATTAGCCGTTGTCGTTGACGCTGACTTCGGCATCAGCGGCAACAGCAGCAGCAGCAGCAACAGCACCAACGGCAGCAGCAGCAGCAGCAGCAGCAGCAGCAGCAGCAGCAGCAGCAGCACAGTGTCCGTGTAGCTCGGTGTGTTACGTGGGTGCGCGGCGCAATAGTTGGAGCATCCGCAACTCGTGGATGGCTCTGGTTGGTTGGCTCGGCTTCGCTCTGGTTGGTCTTGACGTTGCTCCTGCCTGATAGAGCATCGCACCCCCTCTTCTCTCCTCCCCTCCTCCCTCTTTCTCTCTCTCTCTCTCTCTCTCTCTCTCTCTCTCTCTCTCTTTCTTTCTTTCTTCGACGTTCCTCCTTGCTCTCTTTGATACTCCCTCTTTCCTCTTCTATATCCTCCACCTCCTCCACCTCCTCCTCTTTCTCTAGTATTTTCCTCTCAGCTTCGGTCCTCGAATAGCGAATCTGCCTCGCAGGCTTACGTCCCTAATGAACCATGTAATAACGTCGCGACGCCCAGAAAAATAAAAAGGAGAAAGAGTTTCGCTTGGATTTCTTCACTTTTTCTTCTTTCTTTTTCTCTCTCTCTCTCTCTCTCTCTCTCTCTCTTTTTCTCTCTCTGTTTCTCTAACTTCGACCAGATCTCGACTTTCCTTTCTATTGCGATACGTACTTGACGGGTTAAGATTATCTTTTAACCCTTTTAACACTCTTATAATTCTTTGCCATATTTAACTAGACACTTTATATTTTAATACAAGAAGGATATAAGTGATTATTTGTAGAATGTATATGATGTGATTATTATTAATGAAAGGATTACCAATTAATAGTAAATTATATTTGGTCTCTCTTTATATTTATTTGTAGAAATGTCAAAGACTTTTGTTTTTTCTTTTTTTCTCTTTTTTTTTTTTTTTTTTTTTTTTTTTTTCTTTTTGATCAATCGACTAAACAATCTCGTTGAAAGCGTTAAGCTTAATAAAAGATCAAAAGGCAATCGAGACCACGTAAGGAAACAAGCACTCCATTCTCTCTTTCTTTCTCGAGGAACACATTTCGTTACGACTATCCGTCATTTTCACAGCTAATGTAACACACGAGAAGTCTGTCTACGCTTTCGTCAAAGAATCACGACGATCGCCGCCGGTACGGACGGGGCCACGCTTTCACGTCCCAAGCGTAAAAATCGACTATTCGACTTACACGTATTATGACGTATATACATACATAATAGATACATTTCTTCATAGAGTAAGACTAATATCAAACGTAAGATTGATGTCCTATTCGTAATCAAAATCGTTAATTAAGAAAAAATTTTCACTTTAATAATAATTCATATAATATCATATATTAAAACATATGTTGACACATATACAAACGCAATCCAATTATATTATATATATATATATATATACATAGATATATGTATAATATATGTATAATATATGTATAATATATGTATAATATATATATATATACATTTCGTTCCACGATATATATGGATGAATAATAATAATCGGTCGCATTCCGCGTCGTTTTACTGAAAATTTTATAGTCGCCTTTACGATTCGAAGAAGAAAGACGCGGTTCCCCGATCATCGGCACGATCGCTGCGGCACGTCAAAGGAGGGTCGGCACTCAACGAGGAATGGATAGAGGGATGGAGTGAGTGAGCGAGCGAGAGAGAGAGAGGGAGATAGAGAGACTTGGTCGATGAATGATGTCTCTATAATGTATCACCGCGCGTATCTTAATATCAGGCGTTTCTCTGATGCGCGCGGACGTGAGTCAGGCGTGAAGTCGCATACATCACGCTGCATTCCCTTCGTGGCGAGCACGTCCAGGATCCTTCGAGCACAGTGTACGGCCTCTTCGAGTTCTTTACGAGTTTCCTCTCTCTCTCTCTCTCTCTCTCTCTCTCTCTTTTTCTCTCTTCGTCTTCGACCTCCATGCTTGCACAGACAGAAGACTTGGGGAACGAAACGTTCCTTCGATTTACCGTGTAACTTTAACACTCATTAGAGACTGTTTAATATATATATATATATATATATATATATATATATATATATATATTTTTTTTTTTATTAATGGAAGGAAAAAAAATTGTTTAGATGAACGGCAACGTCTTTTTTATTCTCGTTTTTTCCTTTTTTTTTTCTTCTTTTTTTTTACTCGTATCCTTCGCCATTTCATACAAACAGTTCTTCAAAAGTGCACTTCATTCGAGTTATAATTCGAGTAAGTTTAATAATTAATGCGACAGATAATTCCGATTATAAATATTTAATAGTAATAAATTCGGATAGCAAGTCGACAGCTCGCTGAGACGTGGCTTGTATGATCTCTGTTGCAGGGATTGGAACGCGACGGGCAACGTGCGCGTACAAGAGTCCTGGCCGACGTGAGCGGATTTCGCCGCGGCTAACTCGAACTTCTCCAACGACGAAGGATCAGGATCCTTGATTGTTTCGCGCCTCACGGTGAGTTACCATCCTTTTCCAATATTCCCTTCCTACGGACGATCAATTATTTTCCGTTCGTTCCTCGATAAAATGGATTAAAAAATTCATTTGGACATATTCCTTTATTATATTGTTTGAATGTATTTATAATTTATAATGATTTTCTTTATATCGTCAAATTTTCTTACCCACGATCTTTAACCATCGTCCATTTCAATTCGTTCGATCGCAACTTAATTAGTAACGAATTGTAAAGTTACGGACAAAACGATGTTACAATTAAGATGCCACCGCGTTTTGGTGTCGACGAAGATGGATCGAGTCCAGTTTGGGAGATCGCCCTCTCCATCTCTTTCTCTCTCTCTTTATCTTTATGTCTCTGTCTTTGTCTCTGTCTCTCTCTCTCTCTCTCTTTCTCTTACTTGCACGGCGTGACCGATCCCAGCCGTTTTGCCCCAGTTTCGCTCGACAGATCGATCTGCACGGCGCGTTCGTTACGCTCGGACAAACTAGGCGAGATCGATCGAAGGGTCGATCCAATTCGCGTCTCGAAACGCCCGCAAAATCAGCCTGCTCGAAGTCCTCCATCTCCTTCTTTAGTCGAGAAGCAACATCACCACCGATCATCCTCCTCCTTATCCTCCTTCTTCTCCCTTGCGGTGGCTTTAATTACAAAGCTTACTTAAAAAATTCTCCCAAACCGTTTCGAGCACTATCTTGGCCGATTGCTTGGCAAAAAGCGAAAGACACCTTTCGTTTCGGTCAAACGAGCCTGCCACGTTCCACCGTTTCTTGTCCAGGAACATCTTCGATCCGCCCCAAACACGAAATCGCTCCTGCCCAACCCAATTTCGCGATGCTTCACCTAATCGACGAAGCATTCGACCGGTATAACCTTTTTCCCCCTTTGCGATCTCTCTTTCCTTATTCTCTCTCTGGTGCGTCTCTCTCTCTCTCCCTCTCTCTCTCTTTTACTTCCTACATTCGTTCTTTCCATGTTTTCTAACTAGTTAACGTTATTCGAGAGTCGAGTTATCATTGTTATTACCCGATCGTAACAGACTCTTGTTTTATTCTCCGATGAAATATCAGTGGGTCGTTTGCTAGTCGTCGTCATTACCATCAGTACATTCGCACGCACCTTTGGCTTTTATTCTCTACAAGAAAGTTACCTGACACCTCGTTCATCTCGCCTCGGAGTCAATTAAAAATTCAAACGTCAGGTGTTAAGGGAAGAAGAAGAAGAAGAAGAAGAAGAAGAAGGAAGGAGGAGGAGGAGGAGGAGGAGGAGAAAGAAGAAGAAGAAGAAGAAGAAGGGAGACGTGCACAGAGGAGAAGTGTCGCGATCCCGAATTTTTTCGAGAGGGAAAGCTCTAGCCACGAACGACGAGGGTAAGCTGAGAATGCGCCTCGTCATTCCTGGTATCCCTCTTCGATGTTGCTGCAGCAACGCCGGCAGCAACGGCAGCACAGCCTTGAAACGGAACTCGAAGTCTTTCCAGCCAAGGACGACAGCTATGAAATCGCTGGTGATTGCTCCTCTCTCTCTCTCTCTCTCTCTCTCGCCTCGTTTTACCCCCTTCGTATAAAGCGGTTATCCGCCTTTTGTCCTCCTTTTGCTACGTAACATCAAACAGGGACTTTCGTGGATCCTCCGTAAAATTTGACTTTACATTTTGTTATCCAATCTCGCGAAAGAGATTCCTTTCACCTATACCATATACAAGTCACTTTCAAATTTTCTATCTGTTCTTTAAATTATATTATTAATTTTTCTAATCATTTTCCTTCGAATATTTTCGAATACCGACAAAAGGATGATAGTCCAAGGGTATATATAACATAGCAGAACTAGCAGTCATTCTGAAGGTTCGATATTCCGTGATCGCGGAATACCGCTGATTCATGGAAACGGGTTGTCCGAGCTATATAAGAGGAAGAGTAATGGCTATCGAAAGAGGAGGGTTTTCAGTACTGATCCCTGCTCGAAATTAACTCGTCAAAGATGACGCGCCACCTCTGTTTCATTCCTCGCCTTGTAATTTGTTGGGCGATCGGTGGGTGGGGGGAGGGATACAGGACTAATGGGTTATTTCAGGTAATTAGCCGAAGGCTCATTCCTCTTTTAAGGATGCAAAAAAAAAAAAAAAGAAATTCTCTTATATTTTCTTCGACTCTTCCTTCCTAGGCACGTGTAAACTTATTATTCTAAATAGCACTTTTTTTCTCATGAGCTACGATACGAAGAGAGAGAGAGAGTGAGAGAGAGCGAGATAGAGAGAGCGACGAAAAGATGATTTCGTACCTCAACACTTCAAAGCTCGCTTATCCTCGTGCCTCGAGACACTCGCATTGCGGGACACGATATTCCGCGTGCGAAATTCTCTTAACGACCCGCGTCGATTAATCACCTCGTAAGACTGTTCGCTCGCGCGCTCGTGTCCTCGACGCTCACCAGAGATTATTATTCTTCCTTTTTACCTCGATTTTAATTCGTAGGGTTATATCGGTATGGCACTCGGCACTAATTAATCGCCGTGCTCGTTAATGAGGTACGGGTGTTCGTGAGAAAGCGATATAAAATTGTTCGTTGTTAAGAGAAACGATCGCAATCACATATCTGTTCTCTACATATATTACATATACGTAAATATGATATTACACATACGTATATATGTATCTATCTAGGTACATAAGTAAAAAAAGAAAAAAAAAAAAAAAAAAAAAAAAGAAAAAAAAAAGAAAAGAAAAAGAAAAAGTGGAGATCCTCTTCTCGAACTCTTTAGAATTCGATTATTATCGATCTTCTGCCGATCGAGTTTGCTACAGGCTCGAAACTTGCCGTTCCATTCTCGCGGCAGGATTAATCTCGGCGATTGATCGAGAAACGTCCGATTATCGAGACAACTCCGAGACCGTCGGAGTTAATCGGTATCTACGAATAACGATAATGGTTGACGCCTAGGAAAGGGAAAGAGAAAGAAAAAACAAAAAAAAAAAAACAAAAAAAAAAAACATAAAAACAAAATAGAGAAAAGAACATATTTCCTTCGTTAGTTTTTATCGTTACTCGATATTGCTGAATCCGTTTGGTTTTTGGTCGTATAATTAAGCGTTTAAGTACGATCGCACGGTCTACGCCGTGTAACCACGGATTTGCTACAATTATCGGGGCTGCTGCTGCTGCTGCTGCTGCTGCTGCTGCTGCTGCCTTAACGACTCTCGCGAAAGGAGTTCGAGTTGAATTCGTTGAGCGTGCGTTTCCAAGAGATGCGAGTGAAAGAGAGAAAGAGAGAGATGAGAGCACGTGCGAGTGAGTAAGAGAGAGAGAGAGAGAGAGAGAGAGAGAGAGAGAGAGAGAAAGGTGAAGAAGAGAGAAGAAGATAGTCAAAGGTAGATCGTCGAAGAAATCGGGTTTGTCGAGTCACGACGTATAACGAACTTCAGCTGTGTCTTCGTCGAGCTTGTGAAGCTTCCTTTATCGACACGCTCGAATCGTGGTTAGCCGTTTCACTGTGACACGTAGAAGAAGGAGGATCGTTAGGTTCAGGATGGTGGTTTATTTCAGGCCCCAGGACGATATCCTGGTAATATTTCTGATACGAGCCTTCTTCCCTTATTTAGCCACGGTGAAATTTTTCTTAAAGAAACAACACCACTTCGACTATTACTTAGTAATACGTATCGATTTTTTGTTTTGCTTTTGTTTTTTTTTTTTCTTTTTTTCTTTCTTTCTTTTCGTTTTTCTACTTGGAATCGATATGACTTTATCGTCAACATCATTGGTAATTAGATGGATAGGATAGGATAGCAATCGTGATTGTGTCGTCATCGTTTAATCGTAAAATGGAAAAGACGAGAGAGAGAGAGAGAGAGAGAGAGAGAGAACTCGTAAGGAATGCAAAAAAAAAAAGAAAAAACAGAAAAAAAGAGCATAGAAGTTCTAGAAGTAGCCGCTTCGTCGTTAATTACTGATTTTCCTCGGTCCGCGTCAGTTTTTAATTGACGCCAGAAATTGAAGCAGAGTGCCGAGGTTCTAGCCAGGCAAGCTTTCCAGCGAAGTCATCCTACCTTCTTCCCGCCTTCTCCTTCATCCAAATCATTCCGGTCCATCCTCTTTGATTAGAACCGGATTAAGACATAGGATAGGGATCTCGTAAAGGATCTCCTCTTATAAATCCTTGATAGATCGAAATCCTTTTTCGCAATATGCTTCGATCGATCATGTATCAATCACTGATCCGTTTTCAAACTGATACGCTCTCTTTTTCTTTCTAACCATTTAGTATGATTAAAATGAGTATTTTCGCCGAAAGAAAAAGAGAGGGGAAAAAGAAAAAACAAAAGGAGAAAGAAAAGAAAAGGAAGGAAGGAAGGAAGGAAGAAAAAAGAAAAAAAGAAGAAAATTGTCCAATCGAGAATAGATTTTTTTCGGATTCATTCGAGTCAATTTCGTCCACCTTCAAGGTCGTATCATCGACGCCGTTTATTTTCTCCGTCGCTTAAATAACCGTGCACGTTTTCTATAGACATGCCAACGTGTCCCGCCTGTCAGTTTCCAGTTAGTCGATATGCTGCCAATGACACGAATCTTTGTCTCTCTCTCTCTCTCTCTCTCTCTCTCGCTCGTTCTCTTTCTCTTTCTCTTCTCCCACCACCCGTCGAACCTTTTCCCCCCATCGTTTCCATCTCCTGTAGCCACCGGCTTCGCACGGCCTCGCGTCGCCTCACGCGACTGTAAAAGCGTTCTCCGGGATTTTAGCTACCTCTACTCTTTCTCTCCTCTTTCTATCTTCCTAGTTATCTCTATCTTTCTCTCTCTCTCTCTCTCTCTCTTTCTCTCTATCTTTCGCTCGCGCGAGTCAGCGAAACGGACTCTTTCTCTCTTTATCGTCGAGAACTGCCGTGTCTCCATCAGTGAAACTCACCACCACCGTCACTATCTCCTCTCTCTCTCTCTCTCTCTCTCTCTCTCTCTCTCTCTTTCTCTTTTTCTCGCAATTCCCTCTATACTAGTC